AAGATATAGTTCTCTGCTTGGCAAATTCTCCTTCGTGCCTCAAATTCCAGTTTACACATCTCTTCCTCTGGGAAGTAGCCACTGGGTTAGGTAAAGCTGAGTGCTCTGCTTTCTGTGCTTTCCCGGCATCCTTTTTAAAGCCTGCTTACAGCATCTGTTACAGGAGTTGTCTTCTCTACTGAACTCTGCCCCAGCTAGGGGAGGGGTGGTATCTTATCCATAACCATGTGCCCCACAACGAGTTTAGGGCTTATCTCAGTGGGTACCCGGTGAACGTGTTAGAGAAGGCTTAAATTCAGAAGAGGTCAGGGCAGACTTTATAGAAAAGGTGGGGTTTGAGTAGTCCCGTGTTGAAAGGCATTGAATTTCAAAAAACCCCACAAAAACCATGAGAATAGGAGAGAGTATGCCAGACCAAGACAGAAGAGAACAGACAAAACTGGGAAGCACAAAATTATATCCAAGAGACAGGACATCGCTGGGTTGGCAGGACCACAGGCGCAGAGAGGGTCCAGAGAAGTGAGAGGCTGGAGCCAGGCTGGGTGGCAACAAATGCCAGACTAAGGACTTGTTTCTCAAACTATGCTCCTTGGAACACCAATTTTCCAGGTAAGTTTAAAATGTGAATACCTCATGGTTTCCTCTGAGTCAATGTACTTCTTCACATACAAGTTTGAGAACTGTCATTGTTAAAGATAACAAATAACATAATCAAAGCCCTCATTTACTAGGTGATCGCTATGCACCCAGTACTGTGCTGACGCCCCACAAGCTTTCTCTCTTTTGATCTAACAACACTTCTCACAGGCAGATACAAGTGTCACCTCTGTTTACAGGCAAGGAGACTGAGGCTAAGAAAGGCCAACTTACCAAGCTCACCAGCTAGAGCTGCTGCAAGGAGAAGCTGGAATGAGCTCAAACCCAGGGCCTCTGCGAACAAAACCCGCTGTGTGGTCAGGTTGCCGCTTCCCCTCCTGCCTGAGGGTGTCCAGGCAGAGGGAAAAGGAGCAGCAGCCTGTGAGGTAGGAGGGAAACCAGGAGAGTGTGGCACAATTAGAGAAGAATATACATTTCTCTGCTTGGCAGAGAAAGAACAGGAAGAGAGAGGAGAAGCACCTTAGGCTGGGGCGGGGGCTGGAGGGGATGGCTGTCACCCCAGACACCTAAGGGGAAGGACCATGGGCCCGGGACAGAATTAGACACAGAGCTGGAGGAAGATATAGACCAAGCAATGGAATTGGGAAAGAACGTTCTTGAAAACCGAGCTGGATTTCTGCCACATGAATCATCTACCCCAGATGGACTTGACGGTTGAAGCCAAGGTCAAACCACGGCCCTCAAGAAGACTGGTGTGAGGAGATGTTGCTGGGAGCTGCCTGGGCAATGACAGGGGGACATGCAGGAATGACAGGGCGGCCACGTTCCCAGGCAACAGATTATAGGAAATCTGCCCACAGCCTGAGCTGAGCCAGCAGCAGCTCCGGGCCATCACCATTTCCCAAGTAGTTATTGTGGCTGTGATTGGAAAGGGGTCACGGTCACATGTCTAAAATAAATGTAATTTTGTTGGCGAGAGAGTGTGTTCTGGAATGTTGCAGGGCCAGGCTCAAGCTGCAAGCAGAAAGGGCTTCGTGGCAAAGAAAGAACTTATTATATATTCACAGAGCCCTGCAGTTTGCAGAGCCCTTCAAAATCTCTGTCTTGTGTGAGCTGGACAGCAGCCCTATGAGTTGGGCCAGGAACTGGAGGCCCAGCGAAGTGAGGTGACTTATGCACGCACACACAGTTAAGTCAAAGGCAGAACCACGGCATCCCTAAATCTTGGGGTTCCAAGTTAGTTCAGGCTTTTAAGACCCAAGCTATTGAGGTTTTTAACAAGTGGTAAGAGAAAAGAAAGTAAAAGAGGCCTCCAAGGAGAGGAAGGCTATTTTCTCAGTCTCTGGGAACCTGCGGCACAAGGTAGCACACCGCAGCAGCTGGCTCTGCACAGCTCTGACAAAGGGTGTTCACTGAAGTTACTTCACACTACAGCCACGAAGGCAGGTAGGGAAGGGAGTTTAGGTGATTTACATAAAGAAACAGAGATTCAAGGGTAGAGAGACTGTTCCAAGGTCACACAGCTGGAAAGAGGAAGTGCCCCTTCTGGAGCTTCGATTCCAGCACTGGGGTCCCTGCACCCCCAGCCCTCAGGTCTGTACCCCCAGCCCCCAGCCTAGAAGCATTTAGTGTCCTCAAACTATGGAAAACCGGCTGGCCCTGGGGCTCCATTTGCTGGAAGTGATCTGTTCAAACTAGTGGCTCCCTGCCTGTCTGCCCTCCCGTTTCCCGCAGCTTAGTGGCTGGTTCCCCCCAAGACCCCCACACACAGCCTGCCCTCTGCGAGACAACTGCCCTGGCCTCCACCCTGCAGGCTCTCTAAGCCAGCGCTCTGTGGCTTGGCCATGCAGCCCTGTCCACATGACACTCCCAGAATAGCTGTCATTGTCAAGCAGCTGTGGCCACAATCCCCTGGGATGACCCCTGAATGCCTCCACATCACAGCTGCCCTAATCTTTTGATTTCTTGGGTTCTGCCTCTAAGCCCTGCTCCCTAGTCCTTTCCAGTACCTTAAGCCACATTCCTGATGGCTGAGCTGGACAGTCTGCCTGGAAACTAAAGCCTGGGGTGTGAGGGCCAAGGGCAATCTCTGGGTAACATTTAGCCCCTCAGAACTGATCGCTGCCCAAATTGCCCTCCAAAGCACCCCACCAGCCTGCCTGGAAACTCAGCCACCAGACCAGCCTTTCTGGATTAGGGGCCAGCCCTCCTCAGGGCCAGCCTCCGGTTCTAGAATTAATGAGTGGCCCATCCTTTAGACATACTGCTCTGGGCCTTCCCCTCCTTCTGTTCGGTGCCACCTGATACTCTTCTGTCACGGAAGACCACATAGAGTACAACAAACAACCCAAAGGTTCAGCGACGGAAGAACTGGTCAACAAATTGTGCACATTTGCAATGGAAGGTCCAGCAGTGCCAATGAATCAGTCCCAACACCCCACAGCAACATGGAGTAGGAAAGAATGTTCCAGAAGGCTATATACTTCAAAATGGTGCTTTTATAACACTCAAAAACAAGTAAAACAAAGAAGTATATTGTTTAGGAACACATTCTTATATAATGAAAGTATTTTTCAAAGCAAGGAAGTGATAGACCTAAAGTCCAGTGTCATGGTCACCCCACGGTGAGAAGAGAAACTGTGCAGGGGATAGCGTGACGGCCGGAGATCCTGGGCAGGAGGCGGGTTTGGAACGGTCATTTAGCTGTTCTGCTTCGTGACTTACGCATGTGTCCCGCATGTCCCTTTCTCTATCTTAACTGCTACGAAAGCATCGTCAAGGTGGATGGAGACAGGGCCCGGGGTGGTCCTCCTGCTCATCTGCTCCCCACCACAACTGGTTGGTGGAAGGAAATGGCTGTGTCGGCCTCATCTCCCCACACCCTCAGGCAGGTGGTCTGCAGGAAGGCCCTCCTCTCATCCCCGGCTCCACCCCTCCCACACCCTGGCTCAGGCCACTGCACCCTGGCCCCTACCCCCTCATCCCGAGGAAGTTGACGGTGGCTCCAGTGAGGAAGGACAGTGGACAGACGGGGTCTGGCCCCATGCCACCTCAGCTACATTTGCTGAGCCATTCCCTGCCTTTTCCAAGCCTGTCTTCCTTGGCCTCCAGGGCCCTCCTTCCCTGACCCCCCTTTTCTATCTCAAGCTACTTCTCTTGGCCCCTTTGCTGGGTCCTGTGTCTCTGCCTATTCCCTATTTCAGTGGGTGCCCCAGGCGCCCTCTCAGGCCTCCGCTCACCCGCAGCTTCCTGGGGCTCCGTGGCCATCACAGCTGCCCTGATCTTTTGATTTCTTGGATTCTGCCTCTAAGCCCTGCTCCCTAATTCTTTCCAGTACCTTAATACAGTGCATGTGAATGTGGCTGAGCTCCCCACCTTTACGTCCAGCCCAGACCACTTTCTCCTGAACTCTAGGCCCAAATTCCTCATTGTCTGCTCTACTTCTCTGCCTGGGTATCATAAGGGCACTCCAAAGGCAGGTTCAAGTCCAACTCCTGACCTTCCCCCCACAAACCTGGTCCCCTTCCAGAGGTCTCTATCCAGGCTTCCAAATGCCTAAGACACCTGCAATCCAATCTTGGTTCTTCCCCTCCCTCTTGGCCGCCATCTCTCTGTCTCCCCATCCTATCTGATCACCCCCTCTCGCCGTTCTCTCCTTAATGTCTCTCAGATCCATTTGCTCCATCTCCACTGAGACTTTCCTAATCTGAGCCAGCATCCTCTCTTGCCTCTATGAGCGCAGCTGGCTCACTTGTCACCTCCCTGTCCCAGCCTTGCTCCATCCATTCTCCACCCTGCAGCCAGTTCATCTTCGGAAACACGAAATCTTGGTGCATCCTCCAGTGACCTCCACTTTACTGCCGCTTCCTCTAGGAAGTCTTCCTAGACTACTGTCATGCCCACCCAGAAAATGTTAGATGGTCCCACAATCTCACGCACCCACAGCTTCCCCACTCTCTCTAGTACTTGTGACACCTTATGTGCAACACATTTTGAAATTATTTGTCTCCCACAATGCTAGGCCTCTGATTTACTGTGTCATCAGGACCTTGGCCAGGGTCTCGTCCCTACTAGCCAAAATTGCTGGAAGATAGATGAATCAATAAATGGCAAGCGCTGTGCTTAGTGTATGTTATCTCGTTTAATTCTAATAAGCATCCTTTAAGGAAGGTGCTATTGGTCTCATTGTACAGGTAGGAAAAGAAAAGTAACTTGCCCCAATCACACAGCTACCAAATAGACGCCTGGAAGTTGGACCCCAGTTTAACACCGACATACACACGGGCAACTGCCCAGCCCTCAGTGGCCGTGGCCCACCCCCGCCCCTCATTCCACCTGAGGTCAGGGAGTCCTCTATCAGCCCAGCGTGGTGGGAAACTCGGGCTAGGAAGGGCGCTGGTTACCTGAAAGCACGTAGGTCCCGGCCTCCCCGCGGGGATGTCCGACTGATAGAAAACCTTGAGCTCTGGAGTCAGGGCGATGACAGTCTTAATCACCAAGGAGATGATATCAGACCACACCTTCTTGATGTCGACGCCTTTGGAAGACAACCTACAAAGAATGCTGGAGAAAGTCCTTTTGCTGCCTGTGCTCGTGCTGTCTGAGTGGACAAAGTTCCCACTGTGGATGTTCAGTGAGTAGTTGGTTAAGTGCATAAAGATGTGGTGCAGATTTTTGGAGCTGGGCTCCTGATATGGCTCTGTACAAAATCTAGAGAGTCCGTCTTTGGCTATATAAATCTCTAAGGGCTCTAAGGACTTCAGTAAGACATACAGACGGATATCGAACTTGAGCTTGTCGATAAGGAGAGGTTTGCAGATGTACTCCTGGACTACCGCCGGCCTGCTCTGCAGGGTCCCTCCTAGGCGGATGTCACTGGGGTCTTTAATGAGGTAGATTCCATCACCCTGACAACCACCATCAGGCTTCACAATGAAAGTGGGCTTCCAGGAAGGGTCGCCATCTTTCACCATTCGAACCTAGGAGGGGAATAAGAATGGTTAGCATTGTATTCTTTTCCTCTGGGGATCCTCAAAGCAGAGCAGGACTTTAGCAGATGTCTGGTGAATGAGTGACAAACAAGCCCTGCCTGTGGGAGCACGTGCTGAGCACCTGCTGGGCAGGTGACACTGAAGTAGGTGCTGAGAGGTAGCCTGGAGACGGCCCCTGTCCTCCAGAAGGGAGGTGGTGAGTGCAGTGGGTTCAAGTTCCGGGTCTTTGCTGGCCGTGCTCTAACCCAGGATGATGAAGAAGCCAACAACGACAGCACCTGCTCTGTGCCAGGTAGTCTAGTGTGCACATTACGTAAGTTCTCTCCACTCACCCCATAGAAAACACAGTGGGTCCCCTTAGAATATAGAAAACAGAGGATACGGCAGCTGTGAGAGAGAGGGTGTTGGAGTCAAGATGTCTGGGCTTAGTCCTGGCCCTGCTGTTTACTGCATGACCTTGGACAAGTCACTTACCTATCTGTGTCTTCCTCATCTGCAAAATAGGACTCAGCTTGTGCTTGAAAATTAAAAGAAATACAAATGCAAAGGACTAGGCACAGAACCCTGCACAGGAGTGTCAGAAGGTCTAGCTACTGCTACTTTTCAAAAATGAAGTCCCTTGTGAGCTAGCTGAGGGGTAGAGCTGGGGCTGGAATGGAGACTGAGGTCTAATGTGCCTGATTCTCCCTCCATGTCACTATGACTTGCTTTCCTCAGCTATTATAATGGGGCAAGAAATACCAACCCTCGCTGGGTGGTTATAAAGATGAGATAAACTGAAATGTGCATGGAAAATGTCAGTTTCATCATTTATACCTCTCATTGGGCTCATCAAGTAGACCTGCCTAATCCTTCAGTCTGTTGAGATCTTTTTGAAAGTGCCTTCTATCACCCAGAATGCTGCTCCCCTCCTGGCTCCAGGTCAGCCGGGCATTCTCAGAAGTCGCCAGGCCCCTGACCAGAACAGACAGTCTGTCTGGATCTCTGAGTCGGCAGGAGATCAGAGCCTTATCCCCAGCCACCACCACCCCGCCTCCACCCCCCCTCCACACCTGTCAGACCCTTCACGCAGCTATGGAGAACAGCAGGAGGGGAGAGTAGCTGGAGGAACTGGAAAGGTGGATTTAAGAGAGGAGCAGCCCCCTCTGCAGCCTTGGTGTGAAAGAGCCAGTGTGAACAGCTTCGCCCTCCCTTCTGGGCCGTCACTCAGGGGCTGCCCTGCACGGGGAGGAGGCCATGGCCCAGCCTCACCCTCGACCCGGAAGTCTGGGTGTCACTTATCTCTCTGACCAACCTATATTTCTAAGTGAAGCTTTTGCCAATTCCTTGGGCACTATCAGTTACTCCAGGCTTGTAAAAGATCTTTAACAATGGGGAAACACTGAAAGCCTTAATAATGGTCCACATCAATTGTTTCCCCTTGTCAGCAGGATTTGAGAATGGAACTTCGGGAGAGATCAATGCCAGCCTCCCAGGGCCCTGTGAGTCTTTCTTGAGACTTGTCTGACCTTGACGTTTATGTAGTTATTTAATATTCACCCAAAGCATTCATACATTTGGCCCTTTACAGTAAATAGAAGTGTGCTGGAGAAATGGCAGTTATGGATCGGGAAGTGAAAAATGTCAAGTTTGCACTGATGGGTAATTTTTCCCTCTGGAAAGCTTTCACTATGCTGAAGATACTAATAGTTCAATATATTATCGGGAACAATATTTTCTCCTTTGAATTCAGTGCCTATGCCCTAAATAAATTAAACTACATGGTCAATAGGCTCTGTCATTCATTGCCTTGCTGAATATTTCTTCTGCTCTTTGCCAGAGTCATACCATACACATCAAGATTATTAATACTAATAGAATCGTTGAGTTCCTGAGAACTGGAGGATGCTCGGAGATGAACAGCGTCCACTCCTCTCATAACTCAGGCATGGGAGCTGAGGGTCAAGAAGAGACATAGTGTGCCGTGGGCCCAGAACTGGTGAGTGGGACAGCTGGGATAAGAACTGGGGTCTTCTGACTTCCTCGTAGCTTCTCTGTGCCATTTCTATCTCTGATAAGATAAAATGAAAGCTTTCTTTTTCCTGGATACTATCCAAAGGGCTCTTGTAAGACAGCACACCGTGTTGGTGTCTGATCTCGGGGCTCACACTGCAGTCCAGTGCCTGGGCCTGGCCTCCTTGGAGCTCCCACTGTAGATCCTGAGTTTGCTAGGCCTGCCCCAGCTCCAGATCTTCTGTCTCTGCTCCTGACTTGTGGTGATGTGGCCACATTCCGAGGGAGAGCCTCACACCTGTCCCTACTGTGAAGCCCGCAGATCTCGGTTCTTCAGCAACCTCTTTCAGAAAAGGAAAAAGGTTTTCCAAGATTCATATTCACTCTCCTCTGAATTTTACCAAAGGGTGATCCTTCCCCCCAGTTATTAACATTGATAAAATTAAGGACTAATTTAGCAAGAAGTCATGGACCAGAAGCTAAATATGGTTTGTAGAACTAGGCCCCGGCCCCAGAAATTCTGATTTAATAGATCTGGGAGGAGACCTGAGTGTATTTTTGTAAAGAGCATAATGGGTCATGCTGATGTGCACTCTGTTTGAGATGCACTGGGCTAAGGGGAGTTAAGTCAAAATGCAGCCTAGGACCAGTATAGAGTAACGTCTTGGCGTTGAGGTGAGCCTCGACCTGAGGGAGACTAGCAGCTAGGCTATATTTGATGGTAGCTCCAGTTTTGCCTAAACCTGCCCTTGGAAGTGAAATCCATTACCTTGAAACTGTGAGTTGGGATGACTGAAAGAGATAGAGAGGGTGTGGAGGTTGGATTGCTTGGCACTTGCCAGGCTTGTTGAAAAATTTATGTCTTTTACTGCCCCCTAGTGGTTATTTAAGAAACGTGTCAGGAAAGACACCCAGCCCCCCAACATTTCTTAGCCATAAGACATTCCACAGAGATGTTTTAAATGGTCTTAAGGAATGGATGTACAAATATCTGTTCACCAAAATATCTGTTCATGAAAATCTTTATAATTAGAGATCTTTTCTTCTGCCTATTATTTCCATCCATATTTTTTGCCTAATGGAAAGTTTGGAAAAGATAAAAAAGCCCTATGAAGAATACAAAAATCTCTGATTTTGGAGGGAGAGGTGGTATCTATTCCAGGATTTTATATTCATGTTGCCCATAATTTTAAAAATTCTTATTCAGACAGAGAAGAATTTTAACAGGTAGACTAATTTGTATAGGAGAGAGAAGCCCTGAAATATATTTGAGGGACAGAACGCATGAAAACTGATGGCCAAACTGGCAGACATGAGTTTGCTCACAGCATGATCTCGCTTTAGGAAGACCACAGAGGGAATGCTTTGTGATAGTGCTTCCTTAAAATCATTGTAAACTGCTTTCAAATTTGGGTCTGCCCTGGTGGCGCAGTGGTTGAGCCCTGGGCTGTAAAGATGCCCGCACTGGTTCGATCCCTGACTGCCAGTGAGGGGCCCACATGGCGCGCAGACCTCTCCTGCCACCCGCTGCTCCCCTCAGCAGTGTATTTTGTCAGTCTGCCTGTTCTGTTTCCTGCTCTGGCTCTGGTGAATTCTCTCACCCTTCCGTGCTTCTGACTGTACCCAGTGCTTGAATAAACAAACAAACAAATAAATAAATAAATAACAAAAAATAAACCGCTTTTAAATTAAAAAAAAAAGGATAAACTTGCACAATATAAAACCTGCCATCTTCCTCTTTTTAAGTGTCCAGTAGATTAAAGTACCTTCCCATTATCTGTGACCATCACCCCCATCCATCCATTTGCAGAACTTTGCATCTTCCCAAACTACAACTCTGTAGGCATCAAACTCCAACTCCTCCAACCCTTAGCCCCACCCCCACCAATCTCTGGTAACCACCACTGTCCTTTCTTTGCCCATGGATTCGACTACCCTAAGTGCCTTGAATAACTTGAGCCATATTGTTTTTGCCCTTTTGGGTGATGGCTCATTTCACTTTGCATAGCATTCTCAAGTTTCATCCATGTGGACACAAGCATCACAAGTACCTTCCTTTTTTTATCCTGAGTAATACTCCAGTGTATGCATTAACCACATTTTGCTTATCCACACATCTGTCACTAGATACTTAGGTTGCTGCTACCTCTTGGCTATTGTGAGTGTTGCTGCATTAAGTCAAAATTTTTTAAATTAAGAAATTAAGAATAGAAATAGGCTTTATGAGTTAGAAAGAGTACTAGAGTACAAAGCAGAAAATCTGGACTCCAGTGCCAACTTAGGCAGGTAGCTTCTGGCTGTGAGACCTTGAGAAAGTCACATCATTGCCTGGGTTTGTTGTGCTGACCTACAACATACAGGGGGCCACGCTAGGTCCCTGGCTTCTGCCAGCTAAGAGATTTTGAACTGCAATGTATCTTGCCATCACCACGCTTGACGGCTGTGTTACACTCAGGTGACATTAATCAGCAGAGAGTACATAGGGAGCTGCTGAGCGGGGGGATGAGCTACAAGGGCAGCAGATTTGGGCTGGAAATTTATGAGGCACTTGAGAAAGCTGGCTGGGCATCTGAGGGAAACAAGCTAAAATATTTTGAGAGAAATTCAGCAACTGGAACACGAAGCCACAAAATATTATTAGTAGCGAGGAACAGTAAGAGGACAATTTCTGAAGAAATACTGTGTCTACATGCCAGGGAGGCCAAAGCCGGTTAGTGGGGTCCTCTGCTGTTCATGCGCATTTGCATCCCAGCTGAACACCGAGCCCCGGGCTGCCATACAGGGAGCGTATCTTCAGGAAACATCAGCATCTGGCAGGCAAGCGACAGCCACCGAGCTCTCACCAGGCAGGTGCAGGGACCAGCCCCTTCCAGACTCAGGGCAAATCCCTGCTCTTCAGACATTCAAGACGATGCCTGTCCGCTGAGAAGGAGGCAGGAGGAGAAGTTGGGTTGAGAAGGAGGAATTGGGTTTCCAAGGGCCAGACAAGAAGTGCA